AGCCTTCATAGTCTAATAAAATCATCGTTCGAAAATGGTTTTAGTAGGAAAATTGCATTCAAGGCTTCATCAAATGATATTATGAGCGAAGCCGTAGGTACAATTGTCAACGTTTCTTCTAATTTGCCATCATCATTACTTATGGAAAGGGTGGTAGTATCAGGATGAAATGTTTCCTCGTCAGTCTGCACCACATGGTCCATGTTTGCATATCCTTCTGATTCTGGATCACTTGCACCTAAGGCTTTCGCATAGCGCATTAATCCGGCTAATACTGACAAAGGGAGCTGATCTTTTGGATTATGTACTTGTGGATTTTTTCCTACAGTCTTCTTGAATCCAGCTTCTATCAAGCGATTCTTGACTGTTGCATAATTTACATGCCTTTGGAGCTTCCGCTGTATTCGTTTCGTCCCTCAATATTTAGAAAACAGGCATATTTTCTAAGCAGAAGGAAGTTAAAGTCTGCAAAGGCTCATAAAACCCCCACAAAAAGCTTCGGGTGGAAAAATGGGATACGACGCCTTAAAAATTGCGCCCTGTGGATTCTTGCAACCGTTTGAAGCAGTGTAGACCCCAGATCTAACACTGCGTTGCAAATTTGTGATTTAAAACGGTTAAGACAGAAAGTAAAAAACTGTAATATTTACAACTCGACATCAAAATTTTACAACTTCGACACCCTGTATCTCGGAAAGGAGGCGTTTACTCACTGATTAGTTCTATCAGATCTTTAATTTGAGCGACCTCTAAAGGTCCTGTTTGTTTTAAAACTGAGACTCTAATCTGTTACAGGGCCCTACATTGAGCACTACCTAATTCACAGCTCTGAAGGGCGATTAGGGTTGGAAACCAGTGAGAATCGTTTCGTGGACATGGCTGCCCTTATAGCGCATTATGCAAGCTGCTGTGACGAGCTTCCCGTGCAATTGACATTGCCCAAGTCGATCCGAGAGTCGAAAAGCAGACAGCAGCTCTCATCTTTGGCTCTATTGGGACAGGTGAGAGTAGCATTGCAATCCTCAACTGGCCAAACAGTTAATTTTAATATAAACACTGCGCCTGGGTTTCAGTCATTTATTTAGAATATCACAATTCAGTCAATTTTCTTAAAACCGTTTCGGTGTTTGTCCACCATCATCAGTTTGTTCGTGTAGGCGGTTGTTGCTACCCAAGTTTTGGGGCTACGCAACTAAGTCCCAAAACTTGCGTAGCAACAACTGCCTACACGAACAAACTGATGATGGTGGACAAACACCAAAACGGTTTTAAGAAAATTGACTAAATTGTGATATTCTAAATAAATGACTGAAACCCAGGAACATTGTTTGAATGAAACTTCATGCTTGTATTGTTTTCCAGGAGTTTTGGAGTTACAGCCCGCCGCCGTCGGCGGCTTCCAGCCCCGACGCCGATCTCGTGCTCAACCTCAATCCATTAATGAGCACTTTCAAGCAAGCTGAGCCTTCAACTCCGATGCAATCGAAGGCGACTCGGCCCAACACGCTCAATTTGCTCAACAAGAACGACCCGAATCAGTCGGATATTATGCGCAGCATGACGTCGTTGAGGGGCGATAGTCTAGGCAAGAATCCGCCACCGCCTCCTCCCAGGTAAAATGAGCATTCGCCCGGCAGCTTAAACGGTTTAATGCTGATATTTTTCTGGCGGATTTAGATGGTCCAAACCGACGACGCCTCAGAACAACTTCACTGTCACGACAACTGTTACGTTCAGTGTGAACGCTCAGAGTCCGAGTAATGAAAGGCCCAACCCTTCGCAAGTAAGTGCTTGACTGATTGACTGCTTGAGAAAACTGTTGTATCCAATCATTCCCTGATGTGGACTGATTTGCAGGTGGAGGTGGTTCAGTGCGATCCGAAGCGAATGTCTCCTGAAGGCCAATGCAACAACTCCACCATTTCGTCCAGAGGCAGTCTCAGAAACAAGAGTCTGAGCAACATTACTTCGCCAAACTCCATTCTTTCTCCCAGCTCGGAGAGCGTTTTCTCGCCAGACACGCTGTCGCCCTTATCTATCAGCAAAGGGGCGCGACACAGCAAACGGACCAAGCCGAAACTATCCAAACACTATCAGGTATATGAAGGCTTTCACGGCCGGTTAAATCA